CGTATGTTTCGTTCGTTCGCAAGGGAAACAACGCGGCGGTCCGTGTATTCGCGGTATTTGTCTTTCGGGGAAAAAATATTCGTAGTACCGCGAGTTTCGAAGTAAAAACCCTCTGGGCCGTGTTTGTCGCGTTCCGTTTCGATGCATCCTATCCCGGCGATGCACACGACTCATCAGAGGGGAGGCGCACTATACTTTGTATTATTTTCAATACGCAACGGAGTGTCGCTACGTATCCCCGCGTTATTTCCATTACTCGACGCCGCTTATCTCGTCCTCGCGATCATCCCCTAATTATAACCATCACTTCGATAAAACTACGTCAGAAGGGTTGAAAACGAACGATCGAACCTCTATAAACCTCCATCCTCCCTCCTGCCTCTTCCCCCCTCGGAATTCTTGGCTTAGCCGGTGTTTACTTTGCGAATGGGCAGGGCGATACCGTCTGTGTGGGTGGAGAAGATCGCGGAGACTTGAATTATACAGCAGTGACGTCAGCGAAGATAATCACACACCTCGTAACGGCCAGTTCATCATCGCGGTATCGCACTCTAAGGGGGTTGATGCATCGCGGAGGTCCCCGCACGAACCGGACGGAAAGCGGAATGTATGGAACGAGACGGGAGTAGGAGGGCGACGACACGGGGTGGTCGCCCTTTTCCGACCCTATCGAACCCAACCGTCTCCGCCGGACGCGGTAGGAACTCTATTAGCAACGGAAAAATGAAGTAAAAGGCCCTACGGATGCTAGAAAATACAGACATCTACTTAAACGAGACTCTCGTCCCGCGTACCACGTATATACATTCACCGAATATGTATTTTTATGTCATTTTTAACGTTAGCTAAATATCGATTCGATTTTCTTTTCAAACACCTAACAAAGTCTCCTTGTTTCCTTTTTCACACACAAATATATATTATAACTTTCTATAAGTTGGGATAGTTTCTTTCTACAAGTAAGAAAAACGACAAATCTCTCCCGAGTTGAAATTCTAATTCTACATTAACTCTGCAAGTTCCATCAAACTTGAAAATTCAATGAAGAATCTCGATACATAATATTATATAGAGGCTAATACTTTACCTTGTTATTACATATGACTATTTGCAGTAATCTTTTTTATATTGAATCTTAAAAAAATATTGAAATTCCAGAATTATTTATCTCAATATTATATCAATATTATCTCAATAAAAAAATAATATAAAAAATAAAAAAATAAAAAAAATAAAAATAATATAAAAATAATATAAATAATATAAAAAATAATATAATAATAATATTATCTCAATATTTTATCTGCGTTTAATTATTATTCTTAATTTCAATGAGCAACCTAAATTACTAATTTTATCTCATTTTCAATGAATAATATTAATTATGTATTTATCTAACTGCACAGAAAATATACGTGAAAGATAAGCATAAACTAAATAATCAAATAAAGATAGGTAAAGAAATGGTTAACCTTTTCAGGGATACATATGTGTATTATGTGTGTATTATGTTGTGTATTAACATATTTCATTTCTTTCTTTTTAATTTAAATACTGTCGACAAAATACAATAATGGACATTACTATGAACAAATATGTGTGTGTATGTGTGTGATGTGGTTATCATGATTGTCAGATGTCACTTTAAAATTAAATCAATTTCTTCTAATTTTAATAAATTCATCCCTAAAAAGGTTTAAAGAAATAATACATTTTATTCTCATCTCTTCCTGTTTCTTTCCTTATTTTTCTTTTTCTTTTTTTTTATGTTAGAAGTTTTTATGTTAGAAGTTTTTATGTTAGAAGTTTTTATGTTAGAAGTTTGATGAGATTGGTAGCTCTTAGAAGAATTGATAAGAAGCTGTCAAGGCAAAAATAACAATTATGTTAACATGTGTCCAATAATGCTGTTCACCAATAGAGATTTTACATTTAAATACAATAAGGATAAATATAAATAAAAAGCAGATTTTAGCAAATTTAAAATGGGACCTGCGGCTCAATCAGCATTATTAGATGAATAAATCAGCAATTACAAGATTTACACTAGATTCTAAGGTCGATATTCATAGCTATAAATTATTCACAATCTTTCATTAAAAACATAATTAGAAATCTGTATTCATACACCATTCAGGTATATTTATTTGTCTGGACCAATACTTTTTGTTGTATATGAAATAAATGCAAGTTAGTTAACCAATAATCAGATATTCGCATATAATTATTTGTCAAATGATAAACTATGAATATCGACATAAATTTCAACTCGGGTAACTCCTTACTCTGAGTAAGGTCGTCAAATATACGTTAAAATCGAAAACATCCTGCATAACAAGTGATCTGACACATCTGAACTTACCGACTGTATCGCTGTCCATGTCCCAACGTCCTACGTGGCCCGTTCTGGCTCCCGACTCACAGTATCCTGGTCTCTATTACTCCATCGTGACACTCCGGATACTCGTTGACCTGACACACATACGCACTGACTCGATACGATTCGATTGAAAATTAAGTTAACTAACGTGATGTCGATGCGAGCAGTCGAATATCTCAAGAGCCGGAGAAATACTTTAATCAATCGCGACGTATAATATCAACGTACTGATACGCGTGCTCCGCGCGCGACATGTTCGTCACTCGGCGACTCGAGACATAATGACTCCGCGGCGCGGTAATACGTGCCGCGCGTAAACACCAAAAAAAAAACACCCGGCCGGCTCGGAAATCCGTTATGTTGTAGAAGCGTCGATTGTTCCGCTCGCCGACTACGCGCGTCCTTGATTGACGGGCACGCGCGACAACAATCTTTCTTCCCGCTTGTGTGTATTCTAGTACTCTTAGTTTCGCCGGATGTTTTGCTACTCAATAAATCGATCGTTACTACAAATTTTCGACTAACGTATTCATTTGGTCTGGTTACGCGTTTCTTATCGCTATCAATCAATCCAGAAAACACATTCTCGTTTTCTCGATTAATCAACAGTCATACTTGAAACGAATGCGACTGCCCGAAAACTTTTAGTAACCGTCAGTCTATCGCGTGATCGAGTGTATATATCTGGCTAATAAATTCAACCTACAAAGATTCGGCGTCGCATATATTTCTGGCGTCATTTCTTTCTTTCTCTTTCCGTCTGATTATCACCGAATTTCTAATTTCCGATTAATAAACCCGACTATCATTCGATTCTATTACTGATTATGTGACTCTATAGCTATAATAATAATAAAATATAATAATAATATGCCGCGCTCGACACGTCGCGACAAGCATCGATTACACATAACGGAAAAAGATTTGATAACTTACTAATAATGTCCTTACGATATGCCCCAACGATCGCACATCGCTATTCTCGACTCTCCCGATATTTATTTACGTGCGAGGCTCACTTTTAAGGAACAAAAGAAGCGTGAAATGCGGAGCGTTGTCGATCGATGTGTTAATGGCGGTTGCTCGGAGCAAAAGGAACGAAGACGCGCTTTGTCGCGAAGATAGCGGTAGGTGGCGGCGCGATAGCCAATCACCGTGTCCCGTTCACAGTAAGAACTAGATTATTAAGGCTACCGCGAACGCGCCTCACCATCGATAGATCGATGATTGCAAGCAATTTTCGGCATCGTGTCTACGCGGAAAAAGAATTTCAATCTGAATAACTGAATGGGACTGTGAATAACCGGATGAGAAATTGGTCAAAAATTTGTGGTAACTATCGTTCTGTCGAATAAGACATCTTGCGAAACTGAATGTATATATGTGACACGAGAGAGAACCGTAACAAACGGGAAAATAGATAGTCGACCCCATCAATCGCCGACCGTCGTCGCCCGCCAATCAAAGACGCGCACAGTCGATGCGCGGGGAACAACAGTCGAAGCTTTTAGAACATTTTCGGCCGGTTAAATGTTTTTGTGTTTACGTGCGGCGCGTATTATTGCGTGTCGTAGTCATTGTGTCTAGAGTCGTCGAGTCGACGATGATCGGTGATTGGTGAAGATAAGGGACTGAGCACAATAAAAGAAATAAGGAACAGGGAACAGAGGAATACTGAAAACAAGAAATAACGCTATTTTACGTTGATGAATTAGGTTTCGTGAACTGTTCCCTATTCTCTATTTCCTATTCTCTATTCTCGATTCCCTATTCCTTATTCCTTTTATTGTACTTAACCCCTAAAAGAAATAAGGAATAGGGAATCGAGAATAGAGAACAGGAAACAGAGAATAGGGAACAGTTCAATATTAAAACATAAAACCTAATTCATGAACGTAGAATAGAGGAATAGAGGAATAGCGTTATTTCTTGTTTTCAGTATTCCTTATTCTCTGTTCTCTGTTCCTTATTCCTTTTAGGGGTTGAGCACAATAAACGAATAAAGAACAGAGAATTGAGAATAAGGAATACCTAAAACAAAAAATAACTACTAATAGACTATTCCTCTGTTCCTCTATTCTAAATAGACTATTCCTCTGTTCCTCTATTCTACGTTGATAAATTAGGTTTATATCGTATACTTTGTTAAATTTAGCAACAATATATAAATATATAAATATTTTAATATTTTTGTATAAATTATAAATATTTAAATATTTTTGTCGAAATGTGTTGTAAACAGACGTGAAAAAAGTTGTTGTTAATTTTAAGATAGAACGAAATATTCTGATAATATCGAGGGTTTTAATTGCAGTATATAATGTAGAATAAAGTCTAACTATAGAGGTAAAGGGAAAGTTACAGTATTCTATGTATATTTCCGTCCGCGGCTTCTTCGAATACATTCGGTTTTATACCAACTCGCGCTGGAATAATCAACTAAAGTAGTATCTTTGCTTGGATAATTTATCGTGAATTGTCAATGTATCGTAAGATGTATGATGATGATACGGCGAATCGAACCGCATGATCCAAAGTAACATTTCCTTACAATCAATGACTTTTTCTAAGGGATCTTTGAAAGAGAATGCCTTACGAGAGTTTGCATTTTATGTTTCAGGTGCCTTGCAGATTACCGAATCCGATGTAACCGATCAGGGAAAGTACGAATGCGTCGCTAATAACACCGTAGGCACGGAGTACTCCAAGTCGATCACATTATACGTCAAACGTACGTATTTCAATCGCATTTTAATATAAGTACACGAGAGAGCGTATATTTATTTTCTGACATAATGTAATGAATACTCTTTCAATATTCTCATAACAGAAAAAAATGTCAAGATACATTAGATCTTATTAGACGTGATATTAATAAAAAGAAAATAGAGGAAAAGGGACACGCGGCAAGAAAAGTTAGCGGCTTTCAAAACGCCGCAAAAGGCCAGCGTGTTTGTAGATGAAATAACGAATGCGGCGCAAACTCGTCGCGCAGTCACGTCAATGCCATAAACGTTTTCCTGCTCGTAATTAAAATTAATGTAACGCAATTAGGACGTAATTAAACTAAACGGGCGGCACAAAGGACTCGCGCGACTCACGTCGCGCACGTTACACCGAGATCTTCTCGTTTCTTGCGTCCTCGCGGCAAGATCTCGAATCTCGGCTACTCGCATTCACGATTTAACCGCCGTGACCGCGATTTGCAAAATCCGCGAAGCCGCTTTGAAACGATTGCGCTGAGTTTTGCCGTTCACACTTGGCGAGTTTTCGCACGGCGCAGTTAATTTGCGATCATAAAATGTACGCGTAATTATTCTCTAATTGGACGCGCCGCATTTGCATTTCGATTTAATGTCAGTTGTAAATAAACAAACGCGATCACGCGGGCTCAATCATAACGTAATATAACTCACTTACTGCGAACAATCATGATATGCATTATATAGCATTATAGAGCATTATAGTACATATTGTATGCGCGACGCGCGTTATGTCGCATATCTTATGTATTGCGACAAATTTAGCTGCTTTCTTTTTAATCCGTGTTTAAATTAAAGCCTATTTCCAAAAAAAAAAAGACTCGAACGAGTGAGAAAGTAGGTATCGGGGTAAATTTCTCGTCGAAATTTAATTTTAATTACTTGCCCATTTAAATATATATATATATACCGGTCCTGTATAAAATCCTTCAGAACGTCGCGTTTCACCGACTTTCTCGATTCCTCCACCGCCGCTGAGCGAAGTAATGCTTGGCGCATCATTGAATCTCACGTGCGTCGCCGTGGGGGCGCCAATGCCCTTCGTCAAGTGGAGGAAGGACCCCGCAACCGATCTGACGCCAGACGACAACTTACCGGTTGGCAAAAACGTCCTGACGTTGACCGACATTCAAGAGTCGGCAAATTACACGTGCACGGCTGCCAGTGATCTCGGCATAATCGATGCCACCACCATGGTGAAAGTTCAATGTTCGTATCGAGCTCTAGAGATAGATCGCCCCTTTCTGCTTTCTGCGTTTCCGCTTACGTTATCGCGGATTACGTGATGCGCACCAATTAATCGCACCTTGAATTCCGGCCCGTTTACGCTTTCACCGAGAAGCTGATCGATCCGTTTAAACCTGATATCACGATAGCAACACTGAGCACATACGGACCTATGCAGCGACATATTGTCAGCTGTAAAGCGATTTCTGGAGTGATACTTTTGAAATTTCCAAATTGAATCTGTCGCACGAGAGAAAGCACAACTCTAATCTTAGAAACTGTACGTTCCATAAAATGGGAAAAGCGAAAGTTTTCTTATATGAAACATGATTGAGTGTTACTTATTATCTCGCCAAATTATATTTACTCTCTGAACGAGTTATATATATTCGGAATTCTCTCGTGTGACAAACTTGGTCGCATATATGTCAGTATTTTTGGCATTACATCGTTAAGATATATCAGGCATGATAAATTTAACGGTTTCGAGAATCTAAATGTCAGAACAATTTCATATCGCCTCGTAATCTTTCAAGCGATCATTTCGAAAAATTGTCGTTACTTGCACGCGGATTTCAATCATCCATAGGAACCTTAGCCGCGAAAGTAAAGCCATATTAATCACCCCTCGTAGCTCTTCCCGGCCCGCCAGAGAATGTTCAAGTGTCGGACATCACGGCGACGTCGGTGAAGCTGAGCTGGTCGTACAAAGGACCGGATGAGCTGCAGTACTACGTAATTCAGCATAAACCGAAGCACGTGAACCAGGCATTCGCCGAGATATCCGGTATCACGACGATGTATTACCATGTTAGGAGTCTCAGCCCGTACACGGAGTACGAGCTCTATGTGATAGCCGTGAACAGCATCGGGCGTGGTCCCCCAAGTGCCCCGGTGATAGTCACCACTGGTGAAACAAGTCAGTACCACACTATTTTCTATCATTCTGGCCTCTAATCGTTCACATATCTCCGTCATCGCTCTGGGAAACGATCATTTCCTTCGTCGAATCTTGCGGATCCCAATTTTGTAAAGAATACTCGGAAGAAAACTTCGCAAGACGTAAGATCTCGCACGTACGTTGAAATGTTATTATCGTCCACATATATAGCATTGCAATGGAATTAGAACAGTAGATTTATAACCCGACCGAAATACACCACCTTCAAATGAAAACACCGTACGAAAGGAAATGTCGTTTCCACAGAAATACTTCTGATCTGATCGATGTATTTCTCTTTCGCCAGTTTCGTCGTCTCTTTACTCATCGTATAATTAAACTCAACCTGTTCTAATGACATTTGTCGAATCAATCATTCACGACGGTACCTACATATACGCATACACACACACACACACACACACACACACACACACACACACACACACACACGCACGCACGCACGCACATGTCTTTATTGGACATCTGTGTGTTATGATCCATATCTACGATAAAGTAATCCCAAATGGCTCATGTTCGATTTTCGTGCCTCATAACCAACACACGTACGTCGCAGTAAATTTTCCCGCCGATTAAAATACGAGATCCGATGACCTTTTTTCCGTGCGCGAGAGACCGCGGGGGAACGATAATGAAAAGGAATGGAGGAACGGCATTACTCCGACATGAGCGTGATTTTTGCACGTAGATAGAATTTTTGTACACCACCGTAAAAAAGAGGAGCGAGTTTTTACGTACATTTTTTGAGGGAAATTCTGTACTTTTTTCCATGCTGTCCGCCGTGGACGCACGATTTGATCCATGTAAGTGACAAGAAAATTTTTTTCACCTATCACCAACCCCCTCTGCTCTTTGTTGCACCAATGTGTTATAGTGTTTTTTGCGGGGCCGTTCCAGCGCGTCGCGCTTCGACGTCATTGTGTATTTTGTCGCCTCTGTATCCCTAGCCTCTCTGTCTTTTTCGCTCTTTTTCTCTTTTTCTATCTTTATCTACTTCTCACTCTATCTTTCTCCGTCATGACGTCTCCCCGTCTCCTTTTTTCAAAAGAGGGGACGAGAAACGAGTACGCGGGGAGAGACAGCACGCGAAATTGCACCTTTCCTACAAATATAGTAGCACACTTCTCACCCCGTGGAAATACGAAGGAGGCGGTGTGTGAAGCGCTCTCACTGTTCGTATTTTCACCCTCGCACTTACGCCCACTCACCCGCTGAGAATTGTCAATAATCGTTTGACGTTTTCTTTTTTTTTTTCCCCAATAGCGGAATCGACGAATGGAGGTGCCAGTAAGTGAAATTATAATACTAAGTGTGCCGTAGTCATATCATCTATGCTCCTTTTGCATCTTCCCGTTTAGTATTTCATTTCGATATCCTATCATCCTGTTTATCCGCGCGTAAATCATTTTACTGACGCACACTGCGTTCACACTTAATCTTTGAGACGCACAGATCAACACGTATGTCTTCGTGGGAGTATCCTTGTAGTTAATCATGCGCGCGGCATGAACCTTCGACGGTGTGTTTGTCGATCGTTACCATGGTGTTGCGTTGCGTTACGTTAAGAAGATTACGAAAGTGAATTTTCTTCTCCTTTTTCTTCCTCTATTCTTTGGTTGCACGTCCTTTGGTTCTTTGATTTCTTGGTTCTTATATTATGGTATATCCCGGGTATATTCCTATTTGCCTCATTCTGATGACTAATGAGTGTTCATTCTTTGTGTGTACGACATCTTTCCTGATGTCTTGCTTTTAATAATCGCGAGGAAATCTGTCTTCCAGAACCCGGTACAGCGCCGCGGAAAGTTCAGGTACGGCCACTGAGTTCCAGCACGATGGTTATACAGTGGGACGAACCGGAAACTCCGAATGGTCAAGTGACGGTCGGTATCTCTTCTTCCCCCCGAGTCGTTTTTGCGAGTCGAAGCGTTTTGCTAATTGTCGTTTCTTTCGCAGGGATACAAAGTGTACTATACGACGGACTCGAATCAGCCGATGGCGTCATGGCAGTACCAAATGGTGGACAACAGCCAGCTGACAACGATCTCAGAGCTGACACCACACACGATTTATACCATAAGAGTCCAGGCGCTCACAAGCGTCGGTCCCGGGCCGCTCAGTCTACCGGTGCAAATTAAAACGCAGCAAGGGGTACCGAGTCAGCCCGAAATGCTAACGGCGGTCCACATCGGGGAGACCAAAGTAACGCTCCAATGGAGCAAGCCCGCTCATAGCGCCGAGAACATTCTCAGCTATGAGCTGTATTGGAACGACACTTACGCGAAGGTAGAGACCACCTTTTCTTTCACTCAACTCTTCTTTCCTCAATTTCCTTGTAAAATGTGACTTGTTAAACTTGCGATCATGTCGTGGGTATAACGAGTGATTTTTTTTCTAATCGTCCGGATACCAGAGGAACTAAAAAAATCAAGAGATTCAATTTTCGGATCTTCGTGAGCAGTCTTGAAAAGAAAAGGGGAAAAAGAAACTTTAGAAAGATGCCGCTAATTACGGTATTTTTATTCGTACTAGGAGAAGCACCATCGCAGAATAGCGGTCACTGAAAACTACACTCTGACCAACTTATATCCGAACACCTTGTACTACGTGTGGCTGGCCGCGAGGAGCCAAAGGGGAGAGGGTGCCACGACGATACCGTACCCGGTTCGCACCAAACAGTACGGTAAGCAGAACGTACAGAGCGCAACAAACGAAATCGAGTGAGTTCATGCAGCGAGGAGTGCCAGACGCATGCCGATACATGATTGTCGATGCTCGCGACTAGGATAGCTGACTAGCTCGGCATTCCATCGCGAATGACGGGGCGGAATGACGCGTTCTCTGCCGGCCGATAATCATGCATCGCGATGGCACAGCAGGTAGGAGGTGCTGTAGCGCTAGACGCTCCTGCAAGTAGCGTAAGCTATCGACGCACAACACCTTGAAAAGAGCCATAAGGAGGACCTTACGTCCGGAGTACGCGTTCAATATTAGAAAGATAAAGGAAAAGAGAACGTAAAGAAACGGTATATAAAGACGGAAGATAAAGAATTTAACGTCGAAACGTGAAGTGTGGGAGAGTGAGAATGACTGCATGCGTTGCAAATAAGAAAGCCGTTTTTGGATGCCACTTTATATATATATATATCTATATATATACGTATATATCATACATATAAATTGCACTAAGCACTGCATTGATATATGTGTGCATTTTGGGCACCTCTTTTCATTCTCAATAACATATGATTTACGTCCGTTCTTCAGTTTTTCGTTGTCTCGTTCCCTTGCAATAATTATAAACGTAATCGTTAACTCAGCGCGTCGCGCATCGAGTTAACGCGAGCCGCTCCGGACGGACCTGTCTCTAATCACGTCTTTTTTCGACTGTTCAAGGATCGATTCATGACTTTTTACCTTGAGTGATTTTACACCTCTCTGAACCTTTTGACCAATCGTCACGTATACTTTCGTTGATACCCCTCGACAGTCACCGTCGACTGTGCGTTCGTCTCTCAGCCTTGAGGTTATCGAAACCAAGAATACGAAAACGCTTTCGCTCGCTCATTAATGTCGGGGCTGATATATTAATAAACATAATTAATTCGTTATACCGCCCGTGTCGCGCGACGACGTTGACGTCGTCGCGCGAACTATCGCGTTGCTCTAGTATAAAACCATGTTCGTCAATGTGAGATCGATATAAGATCGCGACAAGTAAAATTTTGCGTTTTCGCGCGGCGACTTTTCGTACCCTCGGTGTTTTGAGCCTCAAGCCAGAGTCCGGTACGATCGGCCGGTAACTGCCGGTTACACCCCCGCCCCCGATTTTGTTTTTTCTCCCCTCCTATAACTGAATGTTATACAGTCCCCGGGGCTCCGCCTCGCAATGTAACCGGACAAGCGATCAGCCCAACATCCATATTGGTAAAGTGGGAACCGCCTGTCGCTGAACGCCCCAACGGGAGGATCGCCTACTACAAGCTGCAAGTCGTCGAGAGCGGTCGCTCCGATTCCGAGGCGAAGATTATCAAACTGAATGACACGCGTTTCGTATTGGACGAGCTCAAAAAGTGGACCGAGTATCGGATCTGGGTACTGGCCGGGACCAGAGTAGGTGACGGGCCCCCGAGTTATCCTATCTCGGTCAGAACTCACGAGGACGGTATGTATCATAGACACTGACTGAAAGTCTCTCTCTGTTTATCTCAGCCACGCGAGGAATAACGTGTAAAATCCGTGGTGACGCGTAGCGAGGGATTGACGCGTCGATATAGTCCTCTCTAAGAGGACTGCCACGATACGCTCGAATTGGGGGATCAAGTGAGAGATGTATAATTCCCCGACACTCGATACATTGCACGCGATACATCGGACGAAAATGTCAAGTCGCAAACGCGACGGCCGATAACAACCCGGTCGCTACGAATTTCACACGCTAAACTTCGCGCGAAAGGAATATTGTAGGGATGAAGTAATAACGCGCCTCATCCGAGAGCCAAAAATATAAAAGCCCGCCAAAAGTCAGTCCGGTTATGATACGCGCGGTTCCAGTGCGGGTTGCGACGACACGCCGTGTCATTCTTAATCTGGTGAATGCATATTACGTATATGATACATTATTATATACATACTTTCGATTTCAGATTCCGCTAACGTCACTTTGACCTGTCTTTCTCTCTCTCTCTCTCTCTCTCTCTCTCTCTCTCTCTCTATAAATATATATATATATATCTCTCTATCTATCTCTCTTTTCTCTTCCTTAACTCTCAAACGAAACCAAATTATTCTCGCTCCTTCATATCTCACGACTTTCTGTTCTGTGTTTTCTTTTTTCTCTGTCTCGTTTCATCTTTTTTCTCCAGTGACTCTACACTCACGTTATCTTACATTGCATTTGCGTTACATTCTATTAAATTACATTATATATATACAATAATATATATATTAAACTGTATTATATTATATATATATGAGCTTTCCTCACGCCACTCTTGTGTTACAGTTATAGTTTCGAGAAACGAACTATCGAATCGCCCATCGTGACAAGAGAGGAAAAGAGGACGGACACGGCCCTTTTTTCCGGTCGGTCGAATTACCTTCTCTCTCTTTTTTTCTTTTTTTTGCGCGAACAAAAGTTTTGACCGCGCACGACTTTTTGAATTTTTCGTGCCTCTCCAATCACGCTCTGCTCCGATCGCTTTCCTGTCGCTCTTTTCGCAACCTCCTTCACTACTTCCTCTCTCTACCCCTTCGATTTTTACGAAGCGGTACTCGCGCGACGCGAAATACGAAACGATGATGGCCCTACTTTTTTGGCTGGCGAGATTTTATATTTTTGGATTTTTTGCGAAAAAATTTCCAACAACTTATTCTAGCTCCCCGATACCTCCCACACGAAAAAAAAAAAAACTCCAACCCCCCAACCCCTCTTCTAGTGTGCCTACGACATTTTTTCCAGGTGCACGCAGCCACGGATTTTTCAGAAGCTGATAACCGATTTTTGAGCTCAGCTATTAAAGAGAAATATAACGAAAGAGACGAATTTTCTTACCGTTTTTTTACAGGGCCTAATCGCAACTCTCTCTCTTTGTTCGTTGCCGTTGGTTTTTTTCACCCCAGCCCCACTTAAAAACTTGGATATCTCTATTTTGACACGCTAATTAATTATCTAATTATACTCACTCACGTGTTTTTGTCTTCCCTTAAAGCATTTGCAGGAGGATGATCCAGGTTTTGAACAGCTAGTTTTTAAGATCTATTCACACTATCGTAATATATCAATTACCTAATAATATGTACTCATTACACTCAGTGTTCTTTCTGGTGGTTACCGTGGTTACGTCAGTAAAGATGTTTCGTTTCTCTCCTTTAGTTCATTGACTCACTCTTGCCACGTGTTATGAAGATAGAAGTCAGGCTAGCTGTCCTGCGTGCCATTATTTCCGTTCTCCTCGCCTTGCCACGTCTACTCCTGTAGCCACGTGTACTCTGCGCGTGTAAATTAAGTAGGTGACGTGTGCGTTACGGTATTAGATAACAACTCGTTAAAAGCGCGCGCGCGCGCGCGTCACACGAAAATAATGGCAAAGCGAGGGACAGCTTGCGAGTGAAGCGCTTACGTATATATATATATAAAAACTCTAGCGAATGTTATATCTCACACACAAAAACTATACATATATATATATACATATATATGTATGTATATATATGACGCACTTTTTCACTATATATATATTACACATATATATATTTCTATATCTCTGATATATAAGGCTCTTCTGTCTTTAGTTGAGATTTAGTTCTACCTATCGTTTGCACATGTTTAGAGCATGCCTTCGTTTGTTTAAAGATTCCTCTACTACCTACCCCCCTTGATCCAGCCTAAGCCCTCCCCCCCCCCAGCCTAATTCCGAAAATTCACCTAGAACTGTTGCCCTACGAAAACGGAGGGAAGCCCGAACCTGTATATCCATCCTCAACGATCCAGCCTTTCCATCGTCACACTACCAAGATCCGCCGAACTGTGTCGAGTCTGCAAAGCCACACGTTTCCCTTACCCCCTCCCCCGACACGAATACGTTCACATTATACCATCAATCCTATGAATGGCATGCCGATGCATGAGACAGTTTTGCTTTTCTGTTACTTTCCCGTTCCCCCTTCTTGCCGAGCAGCCCGTGCAAAGGGGTGCCGCGGTTGAACCCGCATGTCGAACGTTTTTCGTCCTTTGCCAGACTAAACAACGTCCACCACTATCACCACAGAACTCTTGTCCTCCTCTGCCAGTTCTACAGCCTGTAACGAACGGACCAACGAATTCGGCACCGAGAGGAAAAATTGTTTGCGCGATATTTATACGTATAGTCGTTGAAAAAATAAATCTCCTGCCAGTCGTTAGCCGCGGTATTTTCCCCGGGATCATTTAATCGTAACTTCTCTCGGTGCAGAGGTGACACGCGGTACGACCCGGTCGTTAAAAGTTTTGCAACGCGCGAGTAAGTAGAAACAACGTACCGCGAGATTGAAAAAAGATATATATATATATATATATATATAATTGAACGAAAAGCGCGCGGAGAGCTTCGCGACGGATTCGTGAGCGGGCGAGCAAAGACAGAGGCGAAGACGAGACGCAATAAGAAGAAAAGAAAAAGAGAAGGGGAGGACGAGAAGATACGACGTTCGTAACGCGGCAACGAGTCGTTTATCTCGTACACGGACTATGAAGATATCCGTTGGATGCGCGTTGGAAGTGTGATTCGTCGGGCGGGTATTGTGCCGTCATGATTGTTGAACGAAAAGTCGTACCGACGCGTCCGTAACGATCTTCCCTTCGCCTCCTCCACCACTATGGAACGTCCCGGATCCTCTTTCGTTTCTCCCGCCTGCACCCTCGTCTCGCCACGTCGCTCCACGACCACCCCCCATTCCCGGTATTGTCCCGTTCACGGAGCGACTGATCCGGTGTCCATCCGGTACCCTCTTGAAGCAGACTCGGCAGAGCGAAGCGAAACGATAAAAAGCACTGCTGAAAGCACCCTGCCGTGTAAGCTCGCACATTGTCAAGCACAAAAATTCACCGTCGTGTATAGCATATATATACGTATCTTCTACGCATACGTATTTACGTATTATGACTGTCGTATCGTTCACTATTTACCGAGATATCACCGGCTGCTATGGGTATATAGTAGACATATACTGTCTCTCACCGTACGTGTGTGCTGCGCACAGGCACCTGCACCGAAGTCGCGTACAAGTCCGCACAACGTGCATTCACTCTCGTACTACTTTTCGCACCCACCACGCACGCATACACGCACCTGGCGAGTCACGGTGTCGCACGTACGCACGCACGAACGCATGCACGCACGCACGCACGCACGCAGGCAGGTACGCGGCGCATACTCGCGTGCGTGTTCGTTCGTTTGCGTGGTGTCGACTCTCGTAGTTTCTCGTCGCCCCCTTGTGCACCGATTCTCGAGAGCACCCGCTTTGCGATCAATTCGGCTATACGAGGGCACACGCGTGCACGCATTCACGTAGAATACGTGTGTGCGACCGATGGTATGCGTATACACACGTAGAGGCGTTTTACGAGGCTCACCGTGCACAGCAGCGGCTATACACATCTGAATAAATATTTGTTATAGAGACGATGCGATATAATATATACATACTATATCGTGCGCGCCGAGCACCAGCACTGAAAGCACCCACGAAAAGCACCCCCACTGTCGACTGACTGTCGTGCAATCTGGAGCTCCTTCCTGAGGCGATCTCGGCGGAACGGCGCGGGAAACCCGATAATGACTGAGATGATAATAACGATAGGCGCACATTTCCGCGAATAACGCGCCTTGCGCGGAAAATTTACTTTATTTATGACGAAACAAGCGACTCGCGCAGGACGATCGTGCTAAAAGGACTTCCACACTCCGAAATAAGATTATAAGGTGTCGGTCCGGCCTACGTAGATTGTGCTTTTTTTCTTTTTTTTATCGAACACATTTCATCTTTCTATAAGCGTTCGCTGATTTCTTTCTAATCGATATCATTTCACGAAGGAGGCGATAACGTTGTTTCGAGATCGCGACAGGAAGGTGCGCGCGTGAATGCGTGAGTGATTGTGTAAAAGGATATCGGATGAAAAAAGGACGACGCGTAAGAAAGCGTACACGAGATGTACCGAAAGAATAAGTATCAGAGGGAAGTGATCGATCAGAGGAGAACGACAAAAAAAAAAGAAAGAATCGGAAGCTCGCGCAGTCTCTCCTCTGCGCCCAAACGTTCTCGACGAGGAAGGGTCGGATGATATTGATACCAAGAAGATAAGAGAAAAATTTGCAAGGCGTTTTCGCGGAAACATTTGAATACCAATATTCCTGAGATCTTTTCCGATTTGTATTTTCGTTTGTACGCTCATCAGCCACACCACGATGCCGTGGACTCGACGGGAACAAATCGTTTTCAACGTCAACGTCATCATATTTCGCCCACGCCGGAAACCCCACGGATGCCTTTTTAATATCCGGCTGCGAAACTCTTTTGTTTTTTTTTTTTTTTTTTTTTTTTTTTTTTTTTTTTTTTTTTTTTTTTTTTTCTAAAAAGTACATCACGCGTAAAAATGGAAATGCAAAGTGTCCGTTCCGAATTGAATTTTCGATTTCTGGTCACGCGTAAAGCGCCCGGCGCAGGCGAAGCGCTGCAGCCTATACAGGGAACTTACCGTGCGCGTCGCGCCGACTGTACGGACGAAACGAAGAATCTGGACACTTGTGGACCGCGAGCATCGGTTTCCATTCATTTTCATACGTAATCAAATTCGTTGGAATGATACAACCATTCGACGGCCGTTTTCTGTATTACGTATACCTTTCGCTCTCTGCATGCGAAACTACGACCCGTTTCCATCTTCTGTCTCTGTAAGTCAAACGCCAGTACTTTACTATTCAGATAATACTTTGTTCGATATATTCATACATAAGAGATATTGTTTCAACGCCATATACAACATTTTTTTTTATATATACGTGACATATCTTTCATCTTGAGAGAGAGACACACATATATATATATATATATATATATATATATATATATATATATATATATATATATATAGACACGTTTTTCACATGGGTATCTAGAGAAGGTATCATTATTACACACTCTCTGTATATGTAAATGTGGTTTATTTCCTTGTGTATTTTCTCGACTGTGTTCTAAGCAGCGGTTCGAGCAATGTTCTTTTTGTAGGCGTAATGTTGAGGTCTCGACTTGAGCTTCGGCTGATCTATTGATGTTTCTATTGTTTTCTCTCATTTTTACTCGAATCACGTAAACTATATCACTGTTATGTCCCGACAAGCGCATGATTCATGACAGTTCGTTTCCTTTAGCTCGACCCAACTAGTTCCGCCAATTTCGATTAGACATTTAGACGTCATCGACAGTTTGACCATACTCGATCATCGACAGGTACGCGAGCACGATTCGTTAATCAAATAAACGACCACCACTACCGCGTCTCGGCAACGATTGTCGAAACATATTTACGCGCGCGTTTTACGCGGAATTTTGTGATTTTTGCGTGGATGAATGCGCGGATGGATGTTGACATTGAGGGGGAGTGAGACAGAAAGATAGAGAGAAAGAGAGAGACATATGAAGACGAAGGGGAAACAAATAGCGGGATATTTCTCGATGGTACCCAAATAGAGAGTAATATCTCGCTTGTGTCTCTCTTTTTTTCGTCTGATTACTCTCTCCCTTTCTCTCTCCCTCCCTCCCCCCTCTCTTTCTCTCTTCACTCTTTCTCCCCTCTCTCTCTCTCTCTCTCTCTCTCTCTCTCTCTCTCTCTCTGAATATTATA